GAGGACGTGGGCACCCAGTACCGCTCTGTCATCTACACCCTGGGCCCCCGGCAGCAGGAAACTGCCCTCCGGAGCAGGGACCTGTACCAGCAGGTACTGGGAACACTGGGACACCCCGGGGACACAGACATCCCCCCAGGGCCACTGGGACCCACCTTGGGGACATTGGGACCCCTCTGGGACACTGGGACACCTCCGGTGACAATGGGAACGCCCCTGGGGACACTGGGACCCCCTCATGGGACACAGAGACCCCCCCCTCTTGGGGACACTGGGACCCCTCTTGGGAACACTGAGATCACCCCTCTGGACACCAGGACACCCGTGGGGGCACTGGGACACACCCTGGGAACGCTGGAAGCCCCCTGGGAACACAAAGACCCTCCCTGGGGACGCCAGGAATCCCCATAAGGACGCCAAGGCCCTCCCTGAGGGCACCACGACCCTCCTGGGGACACCAGGACACACCCGTGGGACACAGAGACACCCCCCCCGGGGACACTGGGATCCCTCCTGGTCACACGAGGAGGCCTCTGGGGACTCTGGGACCCCCCCTGTGGACATCAGGACATCGAGAGCACCTCTGGGGACACTGGGACACACCCTGGGATCACTGTGGCCCCCCTGGGAACACCTGGCCCCACCCTGGGGGCACCGAGACACCCCTGGGGACACCAACCACCTTCCCCAACCCCAGGACATGGGACAAGCCCCCGCCCTGGCTGTGCCACGTGTGGGGTAGTGGGATGGGGGGTCCCTCCAGGCTCCCCCCGCCATGGGACTGTCCTAGGAGCTGGGGACACAGCGGCGTGGGGACATCACCACCACCATCGAGCCGGCCCGGGACTTCTACTACGCCGAGGACCGTCACCAGCAGTACCTGCACAAGGTGCCCGGGGCCTCCTGTGGCATGAAGGGCACCAGGGTCACCTGCCCCATCACACGCTGAGGGGCCACCCCGTGTCCCCCGCGCTGTCCCCGTGTCCCCCGCGCTGTCCCCACGTCCCTGGCATTGCTGGCCCCACGTGTCACTGCCACCCCACAGCACCCCACTGTCCCCCAGTTAAAGCCCTGTGACCCCCACCCTGTCCTGGCTTTTCCTGGGGGGCTCTGGGGGTTCACTGGGTGCTGGTTGGGGGGGGAGCTGTGCCTGTGTGTCTGTGTGTCCGTGTGTCCACGTCCGTGTGTCCGTGTCTGTGTATAGGCAGGTCTGTGTCCGTAAGTCCGTGTCCATGGTCCATATGTCCATGTGTCCATGGTCCATGTGTCCGTGTGTCCGTGTGCCCGTGTGCCCATGTCCCTGTGTCCATGTCCATATGTCCATATCCCTGTGTCCCTGTGTCCTGTCCATGTGTCCCTGTGTCTGTGGATGCTGTGTCCAAATGTCCATAGTCCATGTGTCCATGTGCCTGTGTGTCCGTGTCCCTGTATCCCTCCATCCCCGTATCCCTGTGTCCCTGTGTCCCTGTATCCCTGTGTCCCTGTGTCCCCATGTCCCCGTGTCCGTCTGTCCTGTCCGTGTGTCTGTGTATCCCTGTATCCCCATGTACCCGTGTCCGTCTGTCCTGTCTGTGTGTCCGTGCGTCCCTGTATCCCTGTGTCCATGTGTCCTGTCCCTGTGTCCCTGTATCCCTGTATCCCCGTGTCCCCGTGTCCCCGTGTCCCCGTGTCCGTCTGTCCTGTCCCTGTATCCCTGTATCCCCGTGTCCCCGTGTCCCCGTGTCCGTCTGTCCTGTCCGTGTGTCCGGGCTGCAGTTCCCCGCTCTCCCGCCAGGTGGCGCTGCGGGGCCGCGCTCCCTCCCACCCGCCAGGGGGCAGCAGCGGCGCGCCGAGTGCGCCCCTATACGGTACTTACGGTACGAGCCGTACATACGGTACGCGCGCACCCCAAACACGGCCCCCGCGGCCCGTACGGGTGTGGGTGGCACACGGGGACAGACGGGACGAGCGTGGGCGCGCTCAGGGACATACAGGCCGCCTACATGCACCTACATACATGCGTGGGGCCATACAACTCACATACACACACATATGTGTGTGCAGAGGTGCCACATGCCGTGACTTCCCACCCCTGTGTCCCCACTGGGTGCTGGCTGCCCCACAACTCCAGGGGTGGAGGCACACAAGGTGCCATCACGTGCCCATGGGGCTGAGCTCGGTATGGGGCTTGTCCCCAACTCCACAGGAGACGACACACAGAGGGACATTTTTGCAGAAAGTGAAGTTCCTCAGGGTCACCAGAGAGTGAAAAACCAAAAGCAGAGAGAAAGCAAGTGCAGGTCGGCTTCCGGCACCTGGCCCCGCAGCTGCCACGGCACCCGGCCCTGCAGAGAGAGTTGGGCACAGGGACAGGGGACAAGGCACTCTGGCCTTCAGCCTCGTGCCCCAGCATCCTCCTCATCCCATGGAACAGTCCTGGAGAGGCCGTGGGCACACGTGGTGGGGTTTCATGGCAGAGGATGGCTGGGATGGAGGTGCCCAGATGTCAGGATTTGTGAGTTGTTCCCCTGGGACCCCCTGGACTCCCTTCCCCAGCTGCTGATGGGACAAGGAGAGGGGCCAAAGGACGGAGAAGCTGGTGGAG